TGCTCACGCAGCGCTGCTTCAAGGCTGCAGTCAACGCGGGCTTCACGGGCCTGCAGATCCTGAACCACATAGACTCCCAGGACGGCACCCACTGGCGCAACACCCTGGACGTGGACCCTGCCGCCAAGTACGGCGGCTGGTCCTACGAGGACGTCGTGGTGCGGCCGGCCAGCGAGGCCCTCAAGGCCGTCATCAAGCCGCACACACACGTGAGCAGCGGGCGGCGGGGCTGCAATCGTTGTTGCTTGCGTGTGCAGTATTCTCTGTGTGGGTAACGAGGACAAGGCATTGGTCGTGCCGTGGCAGCCGAGCGGTAGCCGGGAGCGCCGGTTCTTGCATGTCACGCCCCTGGGGGGTGCGAGGGCCCCTCGCATCACCGGGTGATGCGCAGTGCAGGAGCAGCTGGGAAGCCTCAACCTGCGCAGCAGACCGGCATGCACACGCGGGGCGCACCTGCGCGCACTCAACGCTCCAGGTGTGGTTCATGATGAGCGGCGAGATGGGGCGCTCCATATTCCGGCACCCTGCCTCGTACCTGAGGCTGATGGCCAAGTACCGCGGCAGCCTGGCTGACAGCAAGGCCAACCACGTCAAGATGGGCGTGGCGCTGCACTGGAACAAGGTGCGGGGCGGGGGGGGGGGGCGCTGCAGCCAGATGAGCGTCCGCAGGCGGCGGCGCCGCTGTTGCGGATGGTGCAGAGTACTTTGGAACAAATGTTTGTGCATACTGCTGCACGGAGTCCAGGAGCGCAGGTACGCATGATCTCCTTGCTCGGCAGTTGCGAAGCTGACTGATAGCAGCGCCCAACTGCAACTCCAGCCTCGCAAAACATCCTCGACACACTTAACCCGCAGGTGTGCGGCGACTGCTTTGACATGCCGCACGTCACGAGCCACCAGCTGTACAACAGCACCTACCACCAGGTCTGGGAGGCGCGCCACGACCAGATTGAGAAGCAGTTTGACATCCCCATGATTCGGAGGGTCTTCCAGACGGCCGATGTCCTCGGCATCAGCCACTACGCGCCCGCCCCCAGCACGGGCCTCAGCGCAGGCGTGTTTGCCATGCCCATCGACACGACCGCCTACGAGCTGGCGCACTGGGGCGTCGACCTCAAGGTGGGGGGACGCGGGCCATGCAGCACCTAATTCCCTGGGGGCTACTGCTCGTCCCGCCGCCCCGCCCGCCCTGCGTCATGCGTGGAGTGTGCTGGGCCCTCTGTTCAACCTGTCCTCTCGCCCACCTGCGTCAAGGGTGGCTTGCCGCCTCGTCGCACGCCGCCTTCTGGACAAACGCATCATGCACTCCTGTTCACAGTCAATTGCACCCTGTACCATTTGAGCAGCACTCCATCCCAGGACGCGTCCTCAACCACTGTAAACCCTGCTGTCCAAACGCCCCCAGGGCCTCATCACCAAGGGCGGCAAAGACTTCCTGTTCTCCGAGGTCGGCCTTGGCGGCGGCGACCCCGGGGACGAGCGCCCCGCCACCAGCCTGGCCGAGCTGGCCACCAACCCGCTCAACGGAATCTGGGCGGTCTACAACGTGGCGCAGGACCCCTGGCGCAACCACAACTTCAAGGCGTACCGCCGCCAGTGGTTCAAGTGAGCCCCCGCCCGCAGGGTTTCGTTCCAAGGGGCGCAGTGTTGTTTGACGGGTCGTACGAGGTCTCTGCCTGTTGACGTGACGCCGCTCACTCGTGGTCACAATATCTTCTGGTCAAGGACCTGCAGCGGCTTATGCATACCTGTCCCCCCCCCCCCACACACACAAACCCACAAACACACATATAGAAACCCACAAACACGCGCCTCACATGCGCTCTCCCCCTCCCAACCACTCGGTCAACACAAGGTCTCTCATGGCGTTCCTCTACGGCGGTGGCGGCCCCCGCTACAAGGTGGACGCGGCCTTCATCTGGAGCGTCGGCACCTTTGATGTGGCGGCCATCCACCCCATATCCACCAGCAGGGAGGGCACATATGCTGACTGGGAGGTTGTCAAGTGGATGAGGTGGCTCTCCTCCAAGGTGCCCACGTGAGCTGATGGAACGAGCTGCAACGACGGTGGCGGCCACGGTGGATGCGGCCGCAGCTGCCGCAGCACATGAAGCGTGCCTGCTGCTGCGGCTGCAGGGGCGGCGGTTGCAGCGGCGGCAGCGGCTGCAGAAGCTGGTGCTGTTGCACTCGCTTGCCGGGCTACCCTGAGCAAAGGGTGAGGCGGCCTTATTGCCCGCGCTTGTGCGGCTTGACGCAATCGCAGCCGCGCGCGCCATAGCTGCCCAGCGCCAGGCAAGGCCAAATCCAAGCTTGGCAGCATGCTTGGGCTGGGCGGGCCGACATGCGAGGGGGATTGTGCCCAACGCACAAGTTGCTGAGCTCTGACACAGCGGCCCCAGTCTCTGTGATGAGCAGGGCTGTCCTGCGTCATGTGCACATGTCTCAAGTTGTCATCCTTGCGCCAGCGTGCGGGGGTGTGCGGCGCACCGCCCTTCCCAGTGATGGGTGCTTTTGTGCCAAGACAACTGCACCCAAGCTTGGCTTCAAGGGCGATATTCTGTGCCGTCTTGCTAAGGCACACGCACACTGTTTTGGTTGGTGGGGGCGTCCCCTGTCTCAGCAGGTAGGGCTTCTCCCCCGTGCCGCTGAAACAAGCGGTGTTTCAGCCAGCCAAAACGCACTGTTTGGAGCTTCTGGGAGTTGAGTGGGTCCTGGTGGTAGGACAAGCGCGGCCAGCGTCTTTGCACCCGGCGGTAGGGGACAGAAGCAGCTGTGAAGTTTGGGCACTGTTGCAGCGCATACGCCCAGACACATTGCCCAAACCAGGCATCTTGCGATGTCACGCACGCCTGCTGAACCTGGCTGCAGTTGCCACTCACTTTCCCAACACACAGCGTATACGCTTCCATGTGTGCCGCGCCAGCTGCGCTGCCACCCTTACCTCTTTGCTGGTTCCACTTTTATTGTTGACTGACATAGAGAGCGAACAGAGTTTGTTTTGACAGCAGCAGAAGGTTTCAGGCGGCTTGCATCATTGCACGACAGCAGCTGCAGCACGGGGGTCCCTGCAGGCCGCACCCCTGGTGCAGCAGCCGGCCACGCCTTGGCAATGTACGCGGAGAGCGTCCCACGGACCCTGCACATGGCGGGCACGTGATTTTTTGCTGAGGGAAGCGTTGTGGCCCACAACCAAGTGCTGGGACTGGGCCGCCGCCCCTGCCTCAAACTCCCTCTCTGCACACGCCGCCTCCTGGAGTTCCCTGCCTAGGCACACCGCACCTCGCTCCCGCAGAGGCGTGAGCCCAGCCCGCGAGGCTGGAGCCTACACATCCCGTGAACCCCTAGGCAAACCACAAACCGACCGAAGCCGCTTCGCGGCAGTGGTTGTTGGGATCAGACAGGGCTTGTCGCCCTGTCGTGCGTGTGCCTGCTGAGGCGCTGCCCCTTTGGCTCTTGCCGCCTACCAATTCAGGTGGCATGCTGCTTTGAGTGGCAACGGTGCATATGCCAACCTGCCTGCTTTTGTCGCTCACCCTGTATTTGCGATGTGCCAGTGTATGTTGTGTCAGGGTGCCAGGGAGCCGGGGGCCTGAGGCGCGATGCGGCCGCCGGGCCCCACAGGCTTGCCCTCACACTGCACCCAGAAGGGAGGCCGCGTGCCCACGCTTTCGGTCCCAGGCGGCCGGAAAGAAGGAGCGCTTCCACAAGGCAGGGTGTGTGGCGTGGCACCGACTGCGGCGATTGCAGGGAGCGGTTGGCGCTGTGTGCCGAGAGCCGTTGCATGTGCCGTGAAGCCTCTCTTATGACCAGCAATTCCTTTGCTTTGCATTACTCCCTGCATTTCTGGCTTGCGTGCATCCACGCTGCTCCACTTGACCAGCTTGCCTGCGACGTTTGACTTCCTCAAACACCCCACCGCGCGATCCTTGCACGGTGCTGAGACACGCACCATCCCTCGTCGCTCGAACCGCCCAGCAGAACGCGGCTTGACCCTTGATTGTCGCACTCGTCCCCCATTCTTGACCAGTCCCTGCTTGCTTGCAGTTGCAGCCACTTTGTGGCGCCCACCTCCCAGCACACCAGTTTGCGCACCACCAGCAGGCGTGGTGCGAGTGCACGTCATTTCACTACTTTGCATGCATGCAAGCCGTTTGGAATGTCCTTGATTGTTTTTGATTGAATCCGTTGGTGGGAAAAGGTGAAGCACTGCTGATGCTGTAACAGCGCATCCAGCAGCAGCGCGATTTCCGGCACCGGCGACCATGCGGTTGCAAGGCAGCGGGCGCCCACGCAAAGTGGTGACCCAGTGAAGAGCGAGACTGTGCGCAAGCCTTGCAATTGAGAAGGCTAAGAAAAGCCGTGGCCACATGGTGCACTTGCGACAGGGCTGCCCGCTCGTAACAACCACCTCAGCCCATCTACCTGCAGCAGGCCAGGGCGCCCGCTGTGCAGCCGCTGAGCTGCCCGCGGCGGTTGTTGTAAGTTCCCAGACGTTCTTGCCTCCAGGGATAGAACGCAATCTGCACACAATTTTTGCACGACCGCAGATTATGCTCGCTTCTCAGAGTATCACCCATAGCACCCCGCACCTCGCTGGCCATCGCAGGCTCCAAGTGCTGCGGGTGCGCGCGGCTCCCAGCACGCCCTGTCGTGCCGTGTTGAGATCAAAATAGCATATGTTGCGAGGCAGCGTATACTATTGATTGGTGCATCCTTTGATTTATCTCGCGGCTTTCGCAGGCTGCTCCACGACGCCCTAGACTCCAGATCACGTCCGCCAGCATGGCGCCCGCTGTGCCGATGTCGCGATTTGAGCCAGAGGAGAGCCTGAAGGACCGCTACGACGCCATGAGCAAGAGGCTCGAGGTGTGACCCTTAGCCACGCAAGCAATCTGGGATATTTGTCTCGACCGGGTCATAGGAGGGCCCGCACCGCAGGATCTGATGCAGGTTGCACACCCTCTTTATCCATGCGGGGTCTAAGGGGTGATGGGAGGGGACCGGGATCAATGGAACCGCTATCTCGCCCCCACAGGTGGTCCGCAAGAGGCTCAACAGGCCCCTCTCTCTGGCTGAAAAGGTAGGATGGAACCCTTCACAGATCGCGCTGATACTGGCCAGGACGGTGGCGGCGCCTGCCTGCGGGGCAGGATCGGCGGCGGCGGCGGCAGCGGTGACTTCGCGGTCGCGCCAACCATGACTGTTGGCCAAGGCGGGCTGGTCGCCGGCCCCTCTCCTTTGCCTTACCGCCCGCATGCGCCAATGCACGACCGCAGGTGGTGTACGGCCACCTTGACGATCCTGAGAACCAGGAGATCGTGCGGGGCGTCAGCTACCTCAAGCTGCGGCCCGGTGCGCCGCGGCTGCCCAGGATGCGGGGCAGCTCCTGGGCGATGGACGCGCACCCGGTTTGCTGATTCCAGTGGTGCAAACATTGGCGATACGATCTGCACGGCAGCAGCCGCGCAGCCCTCTCCTCGGCGGTGCTGCACGCGTGCTGTGTCTGCTGCCGCCCGGCGGCCTGCCGCCGACCTGGCACCGTCTCAATCGCCATTCCCCCGGCCCATGGTCCAACGCATGTGCACCCCGGCCCGCAGACCGCGTGGCTATGCAGGACGCGACCGCCCAGATGGCGATGCTGCAGTTCATCAGCTCCGGGCTGCCCAAGACGCTGGTGCCCTCCACCATCCACTGCGACCACCTCATTGAGGGCACCACCTCGCCACAGGCAGACAGGTGCCGCCACGGCCATGGCGGCAAGGCTCGGGGCCCTGTGCTGCGCGGGCTGTGATCCAAGAGCTGCGGCAGGCGCGCATGCCCGTCGCAGTGACCCCCGCCGCCATTGTGCAGGCCCTGCCCCGGCCGCCTCCCTCAGCTGCTACCCCCCCCCCCCCTCGGCCCCGCCGGCCCGTGCAGGAACAACGGCTTCGGCGCTGACGCGGACTTGACCCTGGCCAAGGCCGCCAACCGCGAGGTCTACAACTTCCTGGCCACGTCTGGCGCCAAGTACGGCGTGGGCTTCTGGAAGCCGGGCAGCGGCATCATCCACCAGATCGTGCTGGAGAACTACGCCTTCCCGGGCGGCATGATGATCGGGACAGACAGGTGGGCGCGCCTGAGAGGGGCCGGGCAGCGCTTTTTGGGGGGAGGGGTGGGGAGACGTCGGGGCTTGTGCCCTGTGTGGTGACACGCGATGTGGTGGGGCAGCTACCGTCGTTGCAGCGCGCGGTGGTTGCGTCGTAATGTGCAGCCTTGGTCTTGCTCTCAGCCTGCCCATCCCCTGCAATCGCGGCCCCTCCCCTATCTCACCTGCGCAGCCACACGCCCAACGCGGGCGGCCTGGGCATGTGCGCCGTGGGTGTGGGCGGTGCTGACGCGGTGGACGTCATGGCGGGGCTGCCCTGGGAGCTCAAGGCACCCAAGGTGCGGTGGGTGGGGGG